TGGTTCCACGCTGTTTAAAACCTCCGATCAGAGGCCTTGCTTCTGGATGTAGTTTATCGTCAAGCCCAGGACGCGATGAGAAATGAAGAGAATACAATGGACAAATATTAAATAATTATGATTTCTCCGATAACAGGAGAAAATGATGATGAATGTTTATGATGCATAAATGAATCAGACAAAAGCACACGATATATATATATATATATATATATATATATATATATATATATATATATATATATATATATATATATGAAGAAAAATATACAGAAAAACAAAAACAAAAATCTTAATATGCAATTATGCTGTATTAATGTTAATATAAAGTCAACGTCGGACGTTTCAGTCTATTTTAGACCATCATCAGGACATATTCATCAAACATAATTAACATTAGAACATATAAAATTCAACATGAAAAAGACGATGGACATAAGAGTACAACTAATCCAAACAGATAACAGAAATTTTTTTATAAGATCAGCGTTCCGTTTAAATACGATCACGTCGTCGTCACGTGGACGATGTTGTGAAAACGTATTCGAAGATGATTTCAAAATATTAAAATATTAAACAAGCTCGATTGAACTATTTTCTCATATAAACAGTTCGTTAAGAAATCCTTTCCGTTGATATACGAATACGCAGGTTCTTATATTTCCATACAAGCTTGAAGTCTTCCATGTTATAAAGTAAAGCAAAATGATTTCAAAATATTAGATAGGCACAATGGAACAATTTTAAACAGTTCGTTAATAAATCCTTTCCTTACTTACAGGAATAGGCGGAGACCAATAGATTCTCATATTTTCGTACAAGCTTGAAGTCTTCCATGTTATAAAGTAAATTCAGGTTTCAGTAGACAGTATGTAAGCAAATATATGGATATAGATCCGACAGTATGAAGAAAAATATACAGAAAAAACAAGCAATTATGCTACATATTAACATTAATACAGCATAATTGCATATTAAGATTTTTGTTTGTTTTTTTCTGTATATTTTTCTTCATACTGTCGGATCTATATCCATATATTTGCTTACATATATATATATATATATATATATATATATATATATATATATACAAGGTGGGTACAATAAAATGGAATATTATATAACAATTAACTCATTTGTCACATGTTGCTACTTTCTAACTTTGACGCTAAAGAATTTAATGATCAATACAAATTTGCCTCCTTTCACTAAAGCGACTTCCTGTTGAAAAGTGACGATCATAAAGAAAAGGTTTTTTTAAATCATTAAGATAAAACATATAAACAACGCTAACACGAAACGAAAGAGATAAAAAAAAAATTCTATTGTTACAGTAACACGAGACATGTTCGCTTTGCCTAGTGTCGTAATCTTTCATGTGACTATAAAAACGGAAAATCTGATGACGTCGTCATGAAATCAGATTGCGTGATTGATATAAAAACAGTGGCATTGAATTTTTTTACATACATATTAAGATGCACTCTATATAAATTACTTTAGTTTCGACAAAAAATAATAAAAATCCTCCTCCAAAGTCATGCAAAAAATGTTTAAATTGTTACTAAATCCTCTATGTCATAATGATAAATCTTCATATCGTTAACTAAAATCAGCACATTGGTATTTTACAGTAGTGTCTGACAATATTACTTTGTTTCGGAAGGTATACAGCCATTTTGAATGTCACTAGATGCCGTTGAGTAGCCGAGGTGTACGTTGGCAGGTTTCCAGTTGAAGCTTTACTGCGTATACCGTAACAATCTAACATAAAGTCTGACAAATTAATCTATGTCTAGTGGAGTCATTACATTCACAGGGAATATTGATTGAAAAGTGAATATTACTCTCAGGAAATTATTTGAATGCTTAAGATTTCTGAAAACGTTGGTTCCAGCGTTTCTCGTTCCGGAAAGTCTTTAGGAAGCAGAAGGTTTCGAATTTGGCCGGGAATGCGTTGAAAAATATTACAAACTTTTGTGAAGTCTTTTGCGACCAAAACATTGTTGCGAATCTGTGAAGAACGAGTGACATTCTGTAAAGTCTTCAGCAAGCGGAGAATTCGAAATGTTGACGTCAACGTTTCAAATTTGACTAGAAAAAAGTTTATAGCAAACAATGTTTTAGAAGGTCTTCAGTAAGCAGAGCATTGAAAAAGGTTCTTGCCGATATTTCAAATTTGGCTGTGAAACAGTTGAAAACGATTCACTTACTGTAAAGCAGAACACTCAAAATGTTGGTGCCGACTTTTCAAATATGACTAGAAAAATGTTTAATAAAGAACCACGTTTTAGGAGGTCTTCAAGAAGCAGATCACTGAAAATGTTGGTGCTGATGTTTCAAATATGACTAAAAAATGTTTTATAAAGAACCAAAATTAGAGGTCTTCAAGAAACAGACCAAAAATGGTTGCCGAGTTTTAATTAAAAAATGTTTTATAAAGAACCACGTTTTAGGAGGTCTTCAAGAAGCAGATCACTGAAAATGTTGGTGCTGATGTTTCAAATATGACTAAAAAATGTTTTATAAAGAACCAAATTTAGGAGGTCTTCAAGAAACAGACCAGTAAAAATGGTGGTGCCGACTTTTCAATTATGACTAGAAAAATGTTTTATAAAGAACCACGTTTTAGGAGGTCTTCAAGAAGATCACTGAAAATGTTGGTGCCGACTTTTCAGGTTTGGCTGGCAAACAGTTAAAAAGGATCCACAGTTTGGGAAGTCTCCGGCAAGGACACTCGATATATTCGTTGCTGTGTTTCAAATTCACCCATAAAAGTGTCGGAAACGAACCACAAATATCAAGTGAAGATTGAACTCTATGTAAGGTAGGAATGGTCAATCAGATTAGCTCTCTACGCAAATTTTACAAGATGATCACTTAATCTTGATTAACGTATGGGGAGGAACATTCGTATTGGAAATGGCGTTTATTTCACGGCTTCCTATTTAAATTCTATGAAAACATTGAAATTAATCATGAATGTATTTTTATTTATTACATTTCTAATCTAATGTATAATTTATACATCTGCAATAATTAATTGACGAAGAAACCTTAAAAAATACCAACAACGACATAGATTACATGATAAACCAATATTCTCCAAGACATACATTTCTTTGAGAAGATTCCACGTGCATTATTCAGTGCGTTCTACAGCAAGAGACTCGAACATTCGAAGTGAATATGGAGAATTTATTTTTATCTCATTACATATGATTATACACAATCCGAGATTCAGAATGTAGATTTAATAGCTTTTATTAATAATCACAATTGGTTTAATATAGCAAATTGGCGTTGTTGGGCGTAATACTTAATTGTACTCGCAACTGCCAAGGTACCTGAAATGTCTCAAGCGACACATTATTTCTTTGTTCTAAGTTTCAAATTATATATATATATATATATATATATATATATATATATATATATATATATATATATATATATATATTCAGTTGTATGGAAATGAGTTTAAGGATGAGGCAGAAATACTTCCCACATTTAAAAGGTTTTAAATGTGTGAAATATTTCTGCCGCTTGGAGTAATATCTACTATCCAGTCTGAATTTGTGAAACGAGCAATTATTGTTAATATATGCTCCGCTCGTCAGATTCACATACTAATATCGCTTGTTGTGTTTAACAACGTTTCAAGCATTTTATCCACCGGCCTGTCTTCAGACTTCTGCATTCGTACTCGGAACATATCAAATTCAACAGTTTATCCAATCTAATAGTTAAATTGTTGTGAATGCATTTTCCATGCTTCGAGTTCATATCAGCTAATATTCACCAGTCTTTTGGGGGCTATGTCGCATGTTCGTTTTTGTAATTTTTTTCTTTTTTGCTGTTTTTTCAATGAATTCAGTGATTGTACTCGAAAATGCCAAGTTACCTGAAATGTCTCAAAGCAACACATTATTTTTTTTTTCTAAGTTTCAAATTATATATATATATATATATATATATATATATATATATATATATATATATATATATATATTCAGTTTATGGATATGATTTTGTGTCCGATGATCACAAAATACAACTGAATATGTTAGCTCTATCATTGATATTGAGCGCTTTCCACTAACTACTGAGCATATAAAATAATATATATATATATATATATATATATTATTTATATATATATATTTTATTGTTTATCTGACTTTTTTTTATCTGACTTAGCCCATTTCATAATATATATATATATATATATAGGGATAAGATATAGTTTTGTTTTATGCTATATTTGTAGAATAAAATTACACAATATCCTCTAAATATCCTGTGTAAATTTAAGAAGTGTAAAAACCTGTGTTAACACCGAGTGGCGACCGCCTGTTTTATGGTTTAGCACAAAATTCCGCCCTAAAGATAGTATTCAAGCCTAAAACAGACTGTCGACCCTTAGTATGACATCAGTGTCCACACTTCTCAGTAAAACGAATGGAGCACTTTGGCTGCTTGGCGTTTGTTTACATTTGTAAAGATGGCTCAGTGGTAGAAGCTCTGACTGACACCAAACCGGTTGGGTTTCGGCCTGGACTTGAGGTATTTGATTGTCTAGTCGCATTGAGGATCTGTGATAAACGAATGACAACGATATATATATATATATATATATATATATATATATATATATATATATATATATATATTTGTGTGTGTGTGTGTGTGTAAGGAGAGTGTTAGTATCAAATATATATCAAAGTTAGATCGGAGTCCTACAGAGTGATCAGATAAAGAACAAATAGGAAACGTTTATCATTTCAACATGTCTAACTTCTATTAAAGCTTTAATACAAATCAAAGATATTAGATTGATATGCGTTCCCTATTTTTCTGTACCCCTTAATATATATATATATGTGTGTGTGTGTGTGTGTGTGTGCGTGTGTGTGTGTGTGTGTGTATACCCGAGGGCATTTGCGCGTAATTAGACCTCGGCTCTTCGATTTCCAATTCTGTGTCGTTCACTATTACACCAGCACCTGGTGTTCGAAAGAAGTCACCCATCTCGGTACTGAATATGCTCGACGTTGCTTAACGTCGGTGATCGTACGAGAACCGGTGTTTCAACTTGATAATGGTCGTAAGCAGCGAGCAAAAATATCCGTCTTCGATTCAGTCTGTGATGTAGTGTGCGCTGAAGAACTGAAACCAGAGACGACACGAAATGCAACGATATTTCATTTGGTTTCAAACTGTCGTATGTCGTTGCGTTGAAACCTTTTTGATGGCATCGATACCTCGTTGGTAGATAGCGACTGGTGTGGAATAGGAGGCATAGATGTCAAATAATGATAAAGGACAGCGATGGAAGCACCCGTTCCTAAGGGCGTTATGTCTTGAGATATTCTCTGAAGCCATTACAGCAGCTCTCTATTATCTAGTAAAAACTTATAATCCAATAATGTTTCCATTTTCAGTGCAAAAGGTTGCAACCATATTAACCTTACTATAATTTAGAAACAAACAAAAAAATAAATAAAAAGTTAATCCCGAGTATGACGATAAACTACACCCGGCAGCAAGATTTCTGATCGGGAGATTGGAGATTGTAAAGGGTCATGGAGCTACCTCTTAATTGCTGTTGTTCCCGGGTCCATCCTGACCTAGAGTGGTAGCACCTGTTCCGGTCCCAGATAAGTGAAAATAATGAACTCCTAAACAAAACATTATGAAAGTATAAAGACTAAATATTTAGTGTATCGGGGCAGCAGATCATTATTTAAACATATATTGTTAAATATAACAAACAACGAATATCTATTTTGTCTGATCATGAGCCGCTCTAAGCTTCGTATAGTGGCTTTAGTTCCGGAAGAAAATAAAGACAAAAATTGTCCAACATTTGGATATTTTTTGTTAAGCTGTTCCTTGATCACATGAGCCTCATCAGAGTCGTTATATGGACAGTACAACAGAAATGTTCATCGTCAAAAATGACATTCTGTCTCGTTTATATAGAAAATTCCTATGGGAAGATAACGGTCGTTGAATAGCAGACGCAAGTCGTAAATTCGTAATGCGGTTCTATGACGTCATGCATGACCACATGAGAGAAAGAATTGTTATCAATAGAACCACGTGTTTAAATGCATTGTAATAAGTCGTGACTGGTTTGAAATGTAATTTTTTTGAGTGTGGGTTGCTTTGTTCAAATACAGATGACCTCTCTCTCTCTCTCTCTCTCTCTATATATATATATATATATATATATATATATATATATATATATAAAAGAAAGAACAGTAAGATATATAACCCGGTGTTCCTATAGCTATTTTTATTTTTACAAAATAGTGCTCAATGTAAATTTACAGAGCATTAATATTATGAATTAATTGATTTAAAATATTTTTTTCGCTACACAGTTCTAACCATGTTTCAAAATTGAAAGCTGAAAGCTCCGAATTTAATTTTGTAATTAACTTAAAGGCATAAGTTCTATTTTATCCTTTCAACTTCCATTTTTGAAACATGGTTAGAACTGTGTAGCAAAAAAAAACATATTTTAAATCAATTAATTTATAATATTATATTATATTATATATATATATATATATATATATATATATAGAGAGAGAGAGAGAGAGAGAGAGAGATGAGCGGGTTTTTCGACTGGATACGAAAATGCGGGTTTACAGAGCTGTTGTACTTGCCATCCTTTTGTATGGCTCAGAGTCGTGGACTCCATATAGGTACCATATACGCCAGCTAAATGTTTTCCATAAAAGCTGTTAGCGTGCAATCTGTGGAGTTAAGCTTCAAGATAGGACATCTAACGTAGACCTGTTATCAGGTGTAATATTGGTGGAATCGGGACTTTTATCATACAGTCTCGGTTACGCTGGACTGGTCATGTCTTGAGAATGTCTGATGACAGGATACCCAAGATCCTAATGTACAGCCAGTTAGATCAGGGCAACAGGAGTGTAGGACGCCCATGGCTAAGATACAAAGACAAGCTGAAAAACAACTTGTCAGCAGTCAATATACCACATAACACCCTTGAGTGCTTAGCTTTGGAGCGGGTAGAATGGAGATCAACCTGTTTTAGTGGACTCAGCAATTTTCAATCTGCGTGTCTGGATCATCTTCAAGAAGCGAGAGCAAGATCTAAAAGGTCACCCAATCTAACAGTGATCTCATCTCACAATCCTCACCCTTGCTCCATATGTGGCCTCCTTTGTAAATCACTCGCGGGTCTTAAATGGCACTTAAGATTATCGCACAAACTTTCATAACTGAATCAATAAGCTGTCAGATCCTAATACGTCGAAACCTATGGGAGTGTCCATTATGATTATATATATATATATATATATATATATATATATATATATATATATATATATATATAATAATGAAATTACCAGCAATTCATTTTACAGCAAAACCGACCTTCAATACATTTTATATTAAAATTACCAACAATACATTTTATGGTAAAATGATCAACAACACATTTTATCAGTAGTTGTAAGCATATAATTGCGTTTAAAATATATTTAGGTGAAGACATGAAATTAGTTTCAAAATATTTAGATTTCGGTATTAAATAACCAATAGAAGTTGATATGCTACCCCCTCTAACTTTTCTACAAATATTTTCATGGCATCTGATCTGACGAGTTATTTTCACTGATGTCTCAACTACATGAATTTAAGCGTGCTACTAGGTTAGAATCTTACTTCCATCCTTTTACTTCCGAAACAGATAAATTAACCGGTTCTTCTACTCCAACAGTTTCTTCTCTCACACTTCCTGACAGTCGAACTCCCTTCCTCTTACTTGCTTCCCTGATAACTATAATCTTCAAAAATTGAAATGTAATGCCAATCGATCTTGATCCCCGTCCATCTCTTTATCCTTTCCTCAAACACCGCTGTTTACTCTTACTTTCACTTTCTGTAACCTCTTGTTGGCTAGTGGCACCCGCCTTGCTTGGGGTGAAATGCTTAAAAAATCAACACACCAACATAAATAAACAGTGAAGAGTTATCCCTAAGTTTAATCCCAATAATACATGTAGATACACATTTTTTTTTCCTTTCGTGTATTATCAGGTTTTCTTATTTGGGATCTGCCACACATGAGCGCTCTCATGGGGTACTCGTAAATTTAATCGGGTTTTCATCAAAGAAAAATAAAACATAGTATCGGTATAAAGAATTGAAATGAAATATTGAAAAAAAAATGTATGCGCAGTGGTGTCATGGCTAACACCTCGGAATGGTCCATACGTGTCAGTTATACTTCGTCTTTCGCGCAAATATCTCCGAAAAGATATCAGTTCATCTCTTCACCCACTAGCTATGGGTAAATAGTAAGACAAACTATATAGTCTTAATTGACAACCAGTAATGGAAAACGAAAACTTTGACTTCAAACCAGCCTGGAGCGAGTTGTGCTCCATCAGATTATCTTTCCCAAAGACCCACCACTGCTGATACAGCTGCAATAGGTAGTACCTCTACGACACTCATGCATTCCTGGACGCGAGATCGGGTTCATGACTGCTAAATCATATTCTGCGATTTATGAAGCGTATGAACCATTGTGATCGATGCCGATGTTCGTTGATCTCATGAATTTTAACATCATCCATGCTGATGGAAGACACGCATGGTTCTCTTTTATGAATAACGATATCAATTTCGTTGTGGAGGCGTTAAAATATACAAACCAACTAACAAATGATTGGAAATTTTCGAAAACAGAACTTCTTGGACATACTAATAAGACATACATTTTTCCGTTTATATGTTGTTTTTATAGATATAATTTATTTCAGTAAATGCTCTGTTGTTTTAATTAAACAGTATTAAAATATATTAAAATAATTGCCGGAATTAAACTATTTCATAATATTTTGTCATTGTTTACTAACAAATATATTTCGTGCGTAGATATGGTTGGGCGATTATCGTCGATAATGTGTGTTTATAAACAATAATTCGAACTTTGCTAACCAGACGCTTCTTTAAGGGTCAGGAGTTCGATTCCTGTCGGAGAAGCACATATTTTCTATAAAATTTCTCGAACATTCAGTTCAATAAATGTAATTAATACTGCTTAATTAAAAATAAACAGAGCATTTGCTTAAATAAATTATATCTATAAAAAATAACGTATAAACGGAATATATATATATATATATATATATATATATATATATATATATTTATACGTTATTTTTATAACATAACGCGTAACATTTACAATCCAATGTTTTCTTTTTTGTTTAAAAGGATGCATCCATATGAAATATCATAATATTTTGCAATAAATAATAAGTAACCAACAAATGTACACTATTTACATTAATCGGACTATTGTCCTCATCTTTGTTTACGTATTTATCACAACGTTTCGGCCGTTGTATGCTCTGGCCTTCTTCAGTTGGTTGGAATGTCAACCCTTTATTTTGCTCACGGGGGTAGAATGTTCTAGTTCCATGTCTAATGGACGTCATTTATCAGTTATCTCCTGTTAATTCCTCTCTCAATGTTCTACACTACCTTAACCAGGTATTGAACTCACAACTCTTTGGGTCCTATCACTGTATCTAACCGACGTATAGATAGATAAAACAAAAGTATATTTATAAAAGATCCAGTAACCATGAACTATTATGAGTGCTTTGCTTCTCCCATTGTGCTTAATATCGGGTTTTCTCGCGTACGTCTACTCTACTGTGTCTGTCCCATGAGACGCTTATAAATATATCGAGTTTTCCTCACATATAGTAAAAAAATCTAAAAAAATCTAAAATCAGTTTGTAAAGATTGAGAATTGAAACGCCATACCGCAAATTATCCCGCGATTGATGGTGTATAAGCCATACCTGACATCTCTCTCTCTCTCCCTCTCTCTCTCTCTCTCTCTCTCTCTCTCTCACACACACACACACACACACACACACACACACGCACGCACATAGCAACCGTGACTGACTTTTGGAGATTGCATTTTTTCCAATGATATTTACCCTGTACAAGGCCCGAGAGCCACTCGAGGTAGATGGTTAAAGAACAAGAGGTACAGCTTATGCGGATGTGTGAAAGAAACCGGTTAAGCCTAAACTGG